AGTACATGGAGGCCAATAATCAATTCATGAGGAAAATCGATGCCACTTTTCAAGATTAGAATGCAGCAATAAAAAATCTAGAGACTCAAATGGGACAAATGGCAGTTGTTTAACTGATAGAGCACCAAGTAATTTGCTAAGTAACATTGAAATAAACCCGAAAGAACATGCTAAGGCAATTACAACTCGAAGTGAAAAGAAGCTACCTGAGATACATGTAAAAAGGCCGGGTGTAAATCAAGAAACAAAATCTCCTGCGATTGAAGAGACTATAGAGCATGACGAGCAGATAAAGGAATCTACCCCAACTGAAGAACCGAGCAAATCACAAGATAAGGCAACCGTTAATCCTCATGAGCCTTCCATACCTTTTCCACAGAGGCTAAAGAAGTAGAAGTTGGATCAATAATACAAAAAATTTCTAGAAGTTTTCAAGAAGCTCCACATCTATATTTCGCTCGTCGATGCACTATTCCAGATGCCTAGCTATGCAGAATTCTTAAAGGACATACTATCAAATAAATGCAAGCTAGGGGATCACGAGACAGTGATGCTAATAGAGGAGTGCAGTACTAACAGAGGAGTGCAGCGCCAAAATTCAGAAAAAGCTCCTACCGAAATTGAAAGTTCCAGAAAGTTTTACTGTTCCTTGCACTATTGGTGATTATTTTGATAAAGTTTTATGTGATCTTGGTGCAAGTATTAACTTAATGCCTCTTTTTGTTTTTAGGAAACTTAGCTTAGGAGAGGCTAAAGCAACTACAGTGACACTGCAACTAGCTGATCAATCATTGGCACATCCTAGGGGAATAATAGATGACGTGCTTTTCAAAGTTGAAAAATTCATATTCCCTGCAGATTTCCTAATCTTAGACACGAAAGAAGATAAGGACATCCCATTGATAATTGGTAAACCGTTCTTGGCAATAGGGAAAGCTTTGATCAATGTTCAGAATGGGCAGTTGATTTCGAGACTGGGAGAAGAGCAGATCTCGTTTAATATCTTAAAGGTAATGAAACTACCTACAGAGTCAGACAGTTGCTTCCAGATCGACAAGGTGGTTCAAGACTGATTTATGCTACATAATCCATTAGATGCCTATGAAACTTGCATTGTACACTCTCAGTCAACGCAGTCTGATTCTGTGGAGACGGAAACATGTGTAAGATTTTTGGATACTAACCCATCGTATACAAGCAGAAGGCATTTTGAAGAGCATGGGATAGGACCCACAAAACCACTACCATTCATTCAGCAGCTGCTGAAATTAGAACTTAAGCAACTACTACCACACATTAGATATGCATACTTGGGAAAGTCTTATACACTCTTGGTTATCATCTCAAACATAGTCAGTGAAGTAGAAGAGGAGAAACTGCTTCGGGCGCTAAGGGAAACTAAAATAGCAATAAGATGGACTATAGCAGATATAAAAGGGATCAGTCCTTCACTTTGCATGCATAAGATTCTTATGGAGGAAAATTTTCGGCCAACAATAGAGAGTTAAAGGATGTTGAATCCAAATATGAAGGACGTGGTCAGAACAGAGGTACTCAAACTTCTAGATGTTGGAATTTTATATTCGATATCGGACATTGCATGGACTAGCCCAGTTCAGGTGGTACCAAAGAAAGGTGGAATCACAGTAGTGCCAAATGAAAAGAATGAGCTGATATCGACTAGAACAGTGACATGATGGAGGGTTTGCATCGATTATCGCAAACTCAACACAGCTACAAGAAAAGATCACTTTCCCTTTCCATCTGTTGATTAGATGCTGGAGAGATTGACAGGCCACTCGCATTACTGTTTTCTCGATGGTTATTCAGGTTACAATCAAATACCAATGGCACTAGAGGATCAGGAGAAAACAATCTTCACTTGCCACTATGGCACTTTTGCATACCGCAGGATACCTTTCGACCTTTGAAACGCCCCTGCCACATTTCAACAATGCATGATAGCTATTTTCTCAAACATGGTAGAGAAGTTTATAGAGATATTCATGGATGATTTCTCGATCTTTAGGTCTTCATTTGACGACTGTTTAGAACTCTTGAATCTGGTATTACAAAGAAGCAGGAAAACTAATTTGGTATTGAACTGAAACAAATGCCACTTCATGGTGCAGGAAAGGATTGTACTTGGGCATCGGGTCTCAGCAAAAGGAATTGAGGTAGATAAAGCAAAAATTTAGGTTATTGAGACGTTACCGACGCCAATATCAGTTAAAGGAGTTCGCAGTTTCTTAGGACATGCTGGGTTCTACAGGAGATTTATTAAGGACTTTTCAAAAATCACCAAACCTCTATGCAACCGGTTGATGAAAGACGTGCCATTTGAATTTAATGAGAAATGCTTGACAGTTTTCAACACTTTGAAGGAGAAACTCACATCAGCACCGATAATTGTAGCACCTGATTGGAAATTACCTTTTGAATTATTGTGTGATGCTAGTGATCATGCCGTGGGTGCAGCATTGGGACTGCGAAGAAACAAGGTTTTTCATGTAATTTACTATGAAAGTAGAACTTTGAATGATGCCCAAATCAACTACGCAACCACTGAAAAGGAGCTCTTAGACATAGTTTATGCATTTGACAAATTCAGGTCATATCTCGTGGGGGTCTAAGGTCATAGTCTACACAGATCATGTTGCATTAAAATATCTGATGACAAAGAAGGATGCTAAGTCGAGATTAATCCGTTGGGTATTACTACTACAAGAATTCGAAATTGAAATCAGGGACAAAAAGGGTAGTGAAAATGTAGTGGCAGATCACCTATCTCGATTGGAGTCGAGAGAGATCGATAAATCAGTGGATATCAATGAGATTTCCCCGGACAAGCAAATGTTGAGTGTTGAAGAAGCACCCTGGTATGCTGATATTGTCAACTATTTAGCTAAGTCTATTCCACCGCTAAATTACTTAAGTCACCAGACGAAAATGCTTTTTGCCGAACTGAAGTACTATTTTTGGGAAGATCCCATTCTCTGTAGGCGAGGGATCGATCAAATTGTGAGAAGGTGCACACCTGAAGATGAAGTACCCGAGATTCTTGAGCATTGTCATTCATCTGCCTATGCGGGACACTTTGGAGCTTCAAAGACTGCTACAAAGATTTTACAGTTTGGGTTTTATTAGCCTACATTGTTCAGAGACGCCTTTAAGTATGTCAAGAGGTGTGATAGATGTCAACGCACTGGGAATATCTCGAGAAGGAACGAAATGCCACTTAACAATATATTGGAAGTTGAGATATTTGACGTTTGGGGAATCAACTTTATGGGACCGTTTTCCCATCGTTTTCAAATCAGTACATCTTGGTTGTAGTCGACTATGTATCTAAATGGGTGAAAGTAGTTACATTGCCAACAAACGATGCAAAGGTGGTGATCATGTTCTTGAAAAACACATCTTTACCAGATATGGTACACCATGGAAAATAATCAGTGACGTGCGCAAATACTTCTACAATCGCCAATTTGAGCAATTACTGAGTAAGTATGGGGTCAAACACCTTATAGCAACCCCATATCATCCACAAATCAGCGGGCAAGTTGAAGTGTCCAACCGACAGTTGAAGAGAATCCTTGAGGTGACAGTGAATTCATCTCGAAATGACTGGTCTAAAAAGTTGGACAATGCATTGTGGGGAAAGCGTTCCATCTCCCACTAAAAATAGAACACCGTGCATACTAGGCTATGAAACAGTTGAATATGGATTTGAAGGCCACTAGTGAAAAGCGTTTACTACAATTCAATGAGTTAGATGAATTTAGGATGGAAGCATATGAAAACTCGAAGCTTTACAAATAATGCACTAAAAAGTGGCATGACCTATACATTCAAAGGCAAGAGTTCGAAGTGGGGCAGAAAGTTTTGTTGTATAACTCGGGACTCAAGCTCTTCCGGAGATAAGTCCTTACACTGTCACAAAAGTTCTGCCATATGGAGCCATACAAGTCAGCCATGAAACGAATGGTGCCTTCACAGTTAATGGGCAAAGGCTGAAATACTATTGGGACGGTGACTTCTCCAAGCAAAAGTCCATCATTCAACTTCGGACACTTACTTAAAACAGAAGTGGGAAAGTCGAGCTATCGACTAAAACATAGCGCTGGGTGGGAGGCAACTTACTATATCCTTTTGGTTTATTTTGTTTATCTGCATTAGTATAGAAATTTTTTCAATTTCATGTTTACATTTTTTTATATGTAGATCATCGCTCATCCATGCATTTTAAAAGAGTTTAAGCACTATTCACACGAGTCCCTAGGATTGAGCACAAGTTAAGACTAATTGGGTGTGAAATTCACGCATTTCGTGGCAAATGTTTGTTTTTCAAAATTTTAAAGGTCATTGCATGAATACGAACTCAAAATCGGTTTTGACATTAAGCCTATGGCCTACACATCACCCATATGGTTTAAAAATGTGTTTTTGGAAAAGTGTGGGAGCATGGGAAGGCCGACAAATTCACCAATCGAAAACCAACTTTTAAGGTAAATTTGAGCTAAGTCAATTTTTTTTTATTTGGGGGATCAATTGCGTTATTTATTTTTCATATGCATAATAAAGTTTCTTTCCAAAAAAAATAAAAATTGGCAGGTAATCTATGCGACCGCATAGGCATACCTGCTTTGCAATCGCATGGCAAGAGGCGGTGCCTAAAATGGCCCTGCTATTTTGCTCTATGCAACCGAAGCATAAGCTCTATGCGGTCGCATAGAGTAATTCGAAAAAAAAGAATTTTAGTTTAAACACATGGCACTCATACTCACACACCCATACCGGGTTTTCCATCTCTCACACTCTCAACACATGAGAACTCCACAAGATTCACGCACATTTCCTCACGGTTTTCTATCTCTCTCTCTCGCTGAACACAAAACACAATATATTGCACAAATCTTTGCTTTATCAAACATTGGAGTGAGTAGGGATTTCCAATCTTCCAATTTTACACAAAATTTCAAGGTAAGTGCTCTATACTCTACTCTAAAAATTTTGAATTTGGGGATTTGGTTTGTCTTGATTTTCAGTAATTGGTGAAGATTGAGTGTTGTGTTATGTTTGTGATTGATATGTGAAAATGGGAGTTAGACTAGAAAGCATCAATTATCAAGTTATTAAAATTTCACTATGCACACCACAAGTTCGATAAAATGCCGAAGCGACGAGTTTTATGCAATTTTGTAAACTTTGCTTTCATGGTGCATTCCAACTGAGTTAATAGCATTTGGGTGATGAGATATCACAGAAAAGGCTTTGGAAAACACAAAATTCCAAATTGTACACGCGTAGGCACGACATGGCTAGGTCATAACACCCTACGTCACCTACTTGGCCCCTTCATTTACCTCACCAAACGACCTCCGATCAACTTGAAATTTGAATATGTGCTAGACTACATTGAATACTTCCATATACCAGAGGTTGCCCGAGAAAAATTTTGATATTTCTTGGTGATGCCCGGGGTGAAAGTCCTCACTTAGTCATAGGTTAAAATTTCTTAAAGTGCATGTTTGGGCCTAATTTTGTTAGTTTTTATTATTGGTGCAATTTTTCTACCATCTTCAATCTCAATTGTTGAATAATGCATACCAATATGTTAAACCTGCATTGTGTAGTAAGTTTAGGAGATTCTTGTGTCACAGTCTACTCTATTATTTTTTCTTTATGCCTAATTCATTACACTCTTGGGTTTTGATATTGAAAATTCTTCTTCTCTTGTTGGATGTCATCGAAATGAACCTTAAAAGGGAAGGAAAAAGTTGGAACATCATCTGGGACAGCTCGTACTAGAGAGCTAGAAGGAGGTATACAAAGATTCCTGAACCCTGAAACATTAACCCAGTATTCCAATGTTGTCAGTCGGTGGGCACTAATCTAAGATCGATGAGTGAAATTGGATGATTTTACTGGCTTTGTATTAGTCACTTTGGTCGAGCGATGTGGATGGGAGAAAATAGTAGAGCAGCCATACCCTGTTTATGAGAATTTGGTTGGAGAGTTTTATGTAAACTTCAATGTTGATATTGATACAAGGGCTCCGATCATTTGCACCAAACATGTGTTAGGGGATAGTGGATCATGTTCTCACTAGAGGTTATCCATGACTATTATCAGCTCACGTGTAACGACATAATCCCCATCCTGGGTGAGTTTAACTGGAACGAAGTGGCAGAGGTCCTATTGGGGCAAGAGAATGCCTGGCCACTCCAAACAAGTGAATAGCACCAAATTTAGCTAACATAATCAATAGCCATTCTGTGGTTATTTATGTGCCACAATATCGAGCCGACGTCCTACATAACAACATTTACAGATCCCACAGCTAGTTTCATCTATCACTTGGTTTTCGGAGAAATAAGATCGATCTTGCCATACTCTACTATGACCAGATACACAATTTGGGTACTTTGGGAGATACGCATAGTTCTTTGATTTTTCCCAGCCTCATCAGTGGAATATACAAGGCAACAGGTGTCACTATCCCACC